TTTTTTTCTCTGAATAATCGCCTTTGTGATATTATACGATGTTCTATTCGGGCACAGCGAAAATGGATTACAGAAAAAATCGCTCCCAATTCGGGGCTAATACTGAGGGTGTAGAGCTTTCAAAGAAAAAGCAGAATCCGAAGTGTTATTCACGCATAGCAAATTTCTCACAGGAAGGAGGAACGCCCGGCGTAGCCGGGCGAACCCATAAGAAGGAGGGAAGCCCGGCGTTAGCCGGGCGGCCCGACTGATCACAGTAATATGACAGTAAACCATCATCATAGCTCTTACCATCCTCGAGGAAGTTTCACATCGAGTCCTTCCTTCTCGAGATCGGCATTCGGTGGCACTTCTGTGGCACAGGTGACGATTCTGAAGTATTCTAGTATAGTCTGTTACCGCAAAATAATGAAAGGAAATTGGTTACCCGCAAGTGATTTCATTAGTTTCACGGTAGTACGTACAGTAGACGTTCCTGAAACACTCACGATACGTCTATTATGTGGTGGTAGCACATTGACCCCCCATCCGATGGACAGGGAGGGCAAGATTCAATGTTTAGAGTTGAGAGGATAGGTAGGATTCAAATTTATCAACTGTTCGAAATATAAGTGAAGGTTCAGGTGGATATACTCAGCGATAATAGATCTCACTGTTTTGCTCGTTTATCGAAATGCCCTCGAAAGTGTCCAACCAATTCGAAGACTAATATTGCTTACCCCTCCAATTACATGTAAGACTTACTCCAATTGAAGTAGTCTGTAAGGACATTTAACTTATTCTCTTTCATTAGCAACATTACTGGATAAAAGGATAAACTGACTGGTTCTATTGATCATCCTGAGACTTGCCTATCATTGGGTGTTACGGAACATAGCCAGTGGGTAGGCTATTCAGATGGTAGTTGTCAGATGCAGACATTCTCTGTTTTATACCTGATTTTCTGGTTTTCAAAGCCATTCATCAGACGATTAAAATAACCCGTCGCCCTGAGGATCTTAAAACTAAAGTGGGAGCCGGTTTCGCAGAAAACCCCCATACTTCACTTTAGACATGCCACGTTTCGGTCTGAACTTTCAGAGCACATATCAACGTGGAATACTGGATCGGTATCTGCCTAGGCCAACCAAGCCTTCCATCCCTCCGTGGTCGGTGAAATGGTGCCAGAATCGTCTGGGAGGATAAAAGCGCTGACTTGTCATCGGCTGGCCTCTGCAAGTCATTGTATAGGCTACATACGCATTCAATGTGCACTTCGGTTCCGAATTGAAGTCGAATGTAAATGGCGCATTCCTCAGACGGGATTCATCGACGCCCAATGACTTTGTCCTTACCCTTTATCGTCAGCGAGGGTTAACATTATTGAATTCTCGGGGAGTTCTGACAAAACAGAGTAGTGTGCATGTACCTTCGTTTTTATATGAGGCAATCACTATTCACCATGTTAACTTAGTATCTGAAACTAGTAGACAATAAACTGTTGACTACTTCGCCGTTTTCGTATACAAATCGTCTGCGAGATAGGAAAATAGAAACATCGGACTTTCACCTAAAGGTGGGCCAAGTAGGCTGAGGAGAGGATTAATCAAATCATCAAACGTAATGTGTTACGAAAAACTAACTCAGCGAAGGTTCGATGAACGGCGAGCAGAACGAGTAACAGTTGTAATGCGAGGGAGGGCGACATACGCTTGATCGTTGACTGAGTGGGCTAGGGAGGGAGGCAACAGGATGGCCAAGGTCACCTCACAGGAACAACGCGGACACATAGAACACTCAAATTACACGATTTGAACGGAAAAGTAGGCCCGTACATGTGAAGAATACCCAGACATTTAACTTCCTCGACCCATGAGATACGCCGCTCTACTTGACAGCCACCAATTCATAGTTCTAGCAGGTTCCTGGGTAGGCGGGGCACGGTGGTGAATAATTCCAAATCGCACACAAGTAAGTTTGCAAACCATTTGTTACTGCGAAATCCCAGATCGTCTACAAAGTTTATCATCTTTCCAAAGTAAGCCCTTAGTCAATATGTTTGGGTGAAAAGAGTTACCAATTATGTCAGGCCTTCGAAATTTACTCTCAGAGCACCGGTGACGCATAGAGATTTGCCAGTCCGATTGGAGCTGGTTTTGCCTTTTGAGACTAATTCACTGAAAAAAAGGAATTTGCAAAGTCCCCGTGGGTTTTCATCAGTCAGCTCGTCTTGTGTGAAGGACATGGCATTCTCGTGGTAGTTTTCGCGCCCATCAGATAGAATCAGCGATGTCCCATACATCGTTACTGAACACGATACGATCTGCCGACGTATGCGTGGCGAATTTATCGAGCCTTCCATGCCAGCCGTCTTTCAGACAGCAACCAGAGACCGCTCATTGCCCATTAAACTAATGAGGCAAACTGGGACGGTATCTGATTTGTAGTAGGATCTTCCAAGTCGGCTACTCACCACTTTGAATTGAGTGATGGTATTCATCAAGGGTACTAGGGAGAAAGTTAAATCGCGATCCTCCGTCGTTATAAATTCGACTCGAAGTTTCTGCGAATAGGCGTAATGAACGTTTAAAAGCTGTCTACATTCTACAGCGTGGACCAATGTTTTCTCTTCATGGGAGATCGATGAGGAAGATTCATTTTGCGATGTTGTATGTAGGAGTTCATTTTGTACAATGTACACTTTTTCATGTCTACAGCGTCGTCGTCTTATTGTAGAGGTGGGTATCGTTGGGAGACGCCTTTGAACAGCCGCTGCTGGATGTGCAGGCACATAGTATGTACAGATGGAACAGCTCTCCCATTCACCATTCTTGGTGGCAACTCCTGCCTGTGCAGTTCAGAGTCCATTCAGAGTCCATTTTGCTTCCATAGCAGAAGCCTCGTGTTTCGAAGCGGTTGGTTGGCGCTATGGACGACTTTGGATTGCCCTTGACCTCGTTTTTGACGGCTTGTTCGAACCAGCTTGGTGACAATTTATGAGGTGTTCAGGTCTACTATAAGATAGGACGAAGCTTATAAACGAGTACTCGGATGTAAAGGAAATATTTTCCCTATTTTCATCATCCCTATGAGACATATTGGGAGACTAACAGCAGTAAAATGCCACCACATACGATTGACAATCATATTTCTTCTCTCGCTAATCCACCCCCATCCAATCTTCCCCTAGGCATATTTCTGTCCGTCTTTGAGAGTCATGGAACGCTGCTCAATTGTCCATGGCAATCTCAATTTGACGAGAAGGGATTCGATGGTGGAGTACTCCGACAAGATACAGGGTGATTAATATATTGACAGAATTAATGCCGATGGCATTAGAAGATAACACGAATGATCGACACCCTATGAGAATCGGAAATCCTCGAATGCTGCTTCTGAACAACTGAATAAGAGCTCTCTTAGTAAAAAAAAAGTACAATAATTCATTCGAAGAATACATAGTATTCGCAATAAAATACTTCTTACTATACAGAATCTTCCAGTC